GGAAACCGTTTATGTGTAACAACTGTTTCCGGTTGAATTGTAACCAGATTGCACATTTTAATGATTTATCTAAAAAAAAAAAAACAGTTATTGTTACTGACCTCACAATTACATTTTAATCATCATCTTATTATCTAAAAATTTATCAGAAATTTTTTTTTTCATTAAAAATATGTTTCTTTATGGTTCTTTATGGTATACAGCAAAAACAAATGACTTCAAATTGCCGGATTGTATACATTAAAAAGCACTTATTCAACAGTACCCAACAGTAACAGCAATGCAAAATTTTATTAGTTTAAAAACAGAGTCTCTCATTGTTAGACAGTTTTGCTTCAGCTTTTTTCTTTCTTATCCTTTAACAACAAATTAACACGTCAGATGACAATTGAAGCAAACTCCATAGACTGATACTAAATTTGATGACTGTTTGAACCAGAGTGGGTCTGGCAAAACAAAAATGCAACTTTATGCACATTTATTCTTCGTGTTCCTTTTTTTCTTGCCGAAACTTAAGCTTTTTGGATTTTTGATAGACTTTAGAAGACAAAAATTGAAACAACAAAAACGAAAGAATCACATATACAATATTAGGAAGACAAAAACAGATTAAGAGAAGGAAAGTGCCATTAGAAAAATTTTGTCAAAAATTGAAAGAATCTGTTTTTATCAAATGTCTAACCTGGAAAATTCCTGATCCTTTTTTCTTTTCCAGGTATTTGCAAAAAACTAAAGCTCGAGCTTTTTCAGTGAAAGATTTCAAAAAAAAAAAAAAAACACACAATGAGCCTGCAACTGCTTCTTTTTTTTTTTTTTTATTTGAACGATCTGTACAAAGTACGGCATTATAGTAATGGTAAAACGAGAAGAAAAAAATTTAGACAACTACCAATCTTCCAACAAATCTTTTGCTTTCTGCAATGTAATACCTTCGTTTAATGTACCTTTATTTTTCAAAAATTACAACGAGCAAACTCACTAAAAGTCATTAGATTTGCAGATTTACGTTGATCTTTTTTTCAATGAAATAAATAATTTACAAACAAATAAACGAAAAAAAAACCTAAA